CTATCCAGAGATGCAGATCCCTTCCTGGGGCAGTGAGGTCCAAAGTAACCCTTCTTAGGCTGCAACGTCTGGGAAAGCTGGAAAAGATCTTGGTTTCCGGATCCTGTGCTGCTTTTAGCTCCATCGTCTTCTGCAAGCTTGGCAAAAGGTGGACATTGGGCGTGTTACAGGCCAGATTATTCCCTGCTGTAACTCTACTGAGCTCCATGCTGACTGCCAAATTGCGCACAGGGTACAGCAGTGTTAACGTCAGGGCTCTTCGAGCTGAAATTATCTGCAAGGTCTTCTGCAGCTAGGAAACAAATAGTGCAACCAGCTTTGTAGCGAAGAGATCCACTGAGGACTCTGGCCCAAGTCCTGAGCAGGCGGCAGAGCCTAAGCCCAGCCTTAGGAACCTGAGGTCGCTGGGGATGGAAAGGGGTCCCAGGAGACCCGGTGATGTTCCTAGGTGTCTTCAGGCCTTCCTGTTCTGCGATAGAGAAATTAGCCAGGCTCACACAATTGCTCCCAAGGCTGCTGACAGTGAACCGAGTTGCTATTCCTTTTTATCATCACACTTGCCTGCTCTTTGTCTGAGTTGAGACAGTGCCTTGCAGGGAATAAACCTTTGTGAATATCTGGAAACACTTAGCACACAGCAGACGCTAACAGACTAATAATGATAAGCAGATCTAATTCATCTCTGATGTAACTCTGTGGCCAGCGATGTTCTGAGTCATACTTTTAGTTATGCAAGGTTTTAGCCGCACAGTTACTAACCCCCTTCTTACATTTTGATATAATGCTAGGATTAAGAGGAAGTGTTAGTGGGAAGAAAAATCTTAGAACATCTCAGTAAGCAAATAAATAAGTAATGTGGATGGATTAACAATGGTGTATAAGCTGAGCTCAGTTTTTTTGCAGTGGTGACGGGCTATGATCCCTCACACAAGCAATACCCGCTGATGAGTGGGAACTCAGTGATTACACGTGGGTGGTCAGCAGAGCGCGGTAGGGATCGCAGCCGTCACTGAAGGCCGCTGCTCCACGCTCGCTGGATCCGGCTGGCCCCCTGCCTT